CCTTCATTATTACCCACCCCTAAGTAATCGCAGATCTTGGATTTTCTTTCCTCCATTAAGTTGGGGAAGAGAATAATAGAGGACTTATCAAAATTCACATTTTGACCCGATCCCAATTCATAGATATGCAATATGGTCATAATTCCCACTGCAAAAAGGTGGTTGGAATTATGCACGGAGCACCCGTTGTTACTGAATTTCCCACTACATTACCATACTTTCATGTTTATTTATACTAAATCACTCAATCCTCCTACCCCCAAAATAAACAAATAAGGAGATCACTGATACCATGACTTACTTTTTAAGTAAGGATCTCACTCTTAAAGTGAGTGATTGTTGTAAGAGTTAATTTCCTCTCCATTTCACATCCATTTTTTTTCTTCCTATCGCTTTGTACCTTTTTCTCTATCTTACTCATCAATATACCCCGCCCTAATCCCCCTCTATCTCTCTCAAATTGAATTCCTAGTTACTAAAAGGATCCAAATCCTTGTTGTGATGCCATCATAGCCTCTATGAATCCATAAAGCTACTCCACATTTAGTGTCCTACATTTTAAAGTCATTTAACATGGTGCGCGTTTGTGATTCCCATTTTGAGTTTCAAATCCACAAAGTTCATCACAAGGGTGAAGTTTAGCAAAAGTGATCTAGGATCGAGTCCCGTCAACAACAGTGTGGGAGCAACCTAACGTTTTAAATAATAATAATAATAATAATAATAACAATAATAATATGGAGTAATGATGATGATGATGATGATGATAACAATAATAATAATAATAATCATAATATTAATAATCATGATAATAATAATAATAATAATAATAATAATAATAATTGTTGTTGTTGTTGTTGTTGTTATTATTATTATTATTATTATTATTATTATTATTATTATTATTATTATTATTTTATAATAATAAAAGTGGTAAATCATGTTTGAAATTTTCTGATCTAATCTGATCTGAATGCTTCTGATCTGATCTGATCTGATCTGAATAAAATAAGAATAAGCAATAAGTAATACGAATAAGACGAACAGAATAGCACCTTAGTGTCCTACTACTGTATTTTAGAAAATGTCGATTAATGCACTTCACGTTGATGTTTCACGTTTTCTGTTTCACATTTATGTGCTATTTAGGTTTGCGGATACTAAATTTGGTTAAAGTACTATGTCCGCCAATATATTTGCAAGGGAAATTATCAATGACCTCCCTTGAGGTTTGATGCATTATCAATCACACCCCTATACTATCAAAAATATACTTTTACCCCCTCCCTATCCTTTAATGATGATTAAATAACTTCTAATCTATATTTAGAGAAAACTATAGATATAATTTCATTATTTTTCGTTAGGTCCGCTTTTAATACTGTAATTTTATTCAATCACAAATTTGACCCGGTAATTAATAAATTTGTCCATATTAATTACATTTTTATCGGAAGTCAAACAAAACTTACCCCACTCTATGTAGTTCGTTTTATACCTTTGAATTTGTAAAGTGACTAAATATACTCAACTGGCATGAAAATGATCAAAATAAGCTAAATTTGTCAAGAACTGAAACAAATCAACTTAATTGGACCAAACTGACTCAAAAGTGATGTTGACTACTCGGTTTTACCATTAAAGATTGAATGCAAGCTAGAAAATTCCCATTTTGCACTCTAGAAACTTTTTTATCACTGAAAATAAGATCATTATAGGTATAATATAACTTGTAAATTAACATTTGACAAAATATGAACATGTTTACATGTAAAATACTGGTAAATACATTATAATTTATCATGAGTTTCACACCCAAACTGGTTAGTGCTAAATAATTAGTGTGGCCCATGACCTTATTTTCGGTTCTAATCTCCTAATTTTTCTAGGTTCGCTCCCGATAATTTAAATATTTAACTACCTATTTTTTAATTTTTAAACGGACTATAACCAATTTTAAAATGTTTTCAATGGTTTTAATGAAAAAATGAACGGGGTCAAAACATGGGCTCCAATCCTGGTCCAAAAAGTGAGGCCTGAGGCCTCTTGTTCACTGGTCTGGTCTCGATCCCAACCTAAAATCTTAATTAAAACATCTGTCATTCTCGAGACCGGGCCTTGTCCTCCCCTAATATGAACCACAAAAGTAAGTACTTCTCATACAAATTTACAATAGGTAACAATAGTCTCCTAAAAGTCCTTCAACAACATCTGTTTTATGTATAAAATATACGTATTAGATATCTTTCTCTCGTCAGAAAAGTTTCACCAAGATTTCGACAACCTCAAATATATCTTTGAACTTTTAAAAGTAACAGGGATTTATGGGTTTAAGCTTGTACCTTTCGATTGTGTTTGCTAAGTGTATAATTTTACCCACATGTAGATGTAGTTATGTACCTTGTCAATAATAAAGGCTATTACATTGGAAAGTACACGTTCTTACAAAAAAGTACTTTCTGGTAGAAAGATTTTGAATACAAGTAAATTTATTAATTATCAGGTTAAATCTGCAAGTGAGTAAATTTATAAAACTGAATTTATACTATTTCTAAACGTAATTAAGAGTTATTAAACTTTCATTAAAGGATAGGGAGGGGGGTAAGTGTATATTTTTAATAGTGCAGAGGTCTAGGTGATAATACGTGAAACCTCAAGGGTGGTAAAAGATAATTTCCCTATTTGCAAATTGAAAAAGTCACATTTAGCAAATGATTAAGGATTCTTATATTCCTATAACGATATCACAATAACCACTTACGTAGTATTTTTTTATTGAGGACCCCGCTAAGAAAATACGTGTTTGTTGTGATACGATGGTATCCTCTATGATTTACACATGAGAGTCGTATCTTGGTACACCGTACACGAAACAACTCCATATTTAGTATCCCAAATTCCTAAATATGTCGTTGAATATAATGTGTTCACTTCTATGTTTAAGAGGCCGTTTGGTAACCTCATTTTTTCAGCTTATCAGCCAACTTTTTCACCAAACACGTAATATTTACTTTCGCGCGCTGAGTTGTATAATAAGCAGAAAAAGTAAGGTTGGAGTTACTTTTCTGGCTGTATTGGCTGAAGTTACTGTAGATGACCATTTTAGCTATTTTTACATATAATTTTTTCTTTACTTTATTAATAAAATATATTTTAAAAATAATTTTTACTTAAATCAGCAGAAACAGCCAAAGCAGCCACTTCAGCCAGAACTTCATAAATTTCAGCAGAATCAGCCAAAACACCCGATTTTTGTGCTACCAAACGGGCTCTAAATTTTTTAGTTTTTTTTTGCTATTTAGGCCTGCGAGTAACATACGTAGGATGTTTTTTTTTGGACTGTTTTCAGTCCCAGACCAGACCAGACCAGATCAAACCAGACCAGACTTAAACAGACCAGACCAGACCAGACTTAAACAGACCAGACTAGACCAGACCAGACTTGGATAGTTATAAAATACACAGAGACCAGACGTTTACCAGACCAGACCAGTTCAGACCAGACCAGACTTAAACAGATCAGACCAGACCAGACCAACAAATTTCAGTCCAAAAGAAAACATCCGTAGTACGATAGTATATAGTAAAGCTAAGCCTGATAATTAATTTAAAATTGAAAAAACACACTTAAAAAATCTGTTTGATGTGTTATCCGCCATGTTTCACGCTTTTCAATTTCGCATATGTGTGCTATTTAGTTCAATTCTTTGAATATCAAATGTAGTCAAACTTCTAAATTTTGGAAGTACAAGTACAATTTTAAATTTGAAATAGTCAAATATAGTATCCTACATTGTCGTCTGAAACACCGATTAATGCGTGTTCAGAATTTTAGTTTCGCAATTATGTGCTATTTAGGTTCATTTATAACAAATACAACCAAACAACGAAATCTGACATTCCGAGTGTGTTTGTTAGCACTGAAATTCATTGAGTCAGTTGAATCTACTAAAATTGGTAAAATCTCGATTGAATTGGCTGAATTCATTGAATTATGAAAGAATAATATTTATAATATGTTTTATTAATAAAATAAATAAAAATAACTAACATTGTCCTCTACAGTAACTTCGGTCAATTCAGTCATAAAAGAACTCAAAAGTTATATATTTGATAAAACAAATTGACTGGCAAGGTAGGTGAGTTGAAATTAGTAGTTACCAAAGATATTGTTTATTTAGCGCCTTACTCCTACACTTCTAAAGATATTGTTTAATATGTTTGACGTTTATATTTTACGTTTTTGGTTTCACAATTTTGTGCAATTTAGGTCCGTGAGACCGCAAATAACAAATGTAGTCAAACTACTAATCCCGGCAATACATTTGAAGTTTGAAAAAACATATTATGTGTTTTTGTGAGCACCATGATAGTTTACATGTCTGCATATTAGAATCATATATGACTCCATAAAATTACTCCAAACTTAATATGCTATGTTTTTAAAATGCCGTTTAATGTCTCGAAAGAAACAAATATTGTCAAACTAAATTTGGCAGTAAATTTGAAATTTGAAAAAAACCGCATCACATGTCCCGCATTTTTTAAAATTCAGTTTATTATTTTCCATATTTATATTACGCGTTTTTCAATGTCGCATTCATGTGATATTTTTCCTGTTAATAGTAAATGCAGTCAAAATTCATATTTTCTCTAAAACGCTGTCTCATGCATTTCACGTTTATGCTCTATGTTTTTAGTTTCACATTTTTGCACTAGTTAAGTGAATGAATAACCAATGCAGTTCACATTTTTATATTACATTTACCCACTAACATTGAAACATGAAAAGATGATAAAATTATTTAAAATAAAAAGACAAAATAAGACAAATTTTGCAGGATTTGAATAGTATCCATACAATCCTTCTCAAACAACTCAATCTCTCACTAGTCAGTGCAATTTGAAATTTGAAAAAAGTGAACATCCACTACTATGCGCTTAAGCACACTCGATCAGCACTCCTTTTTAAACCCCCTTCAACTCCTTCGAACCCCGCCTATCTCTCTCTGAGATATAAATAACAGCCCATCCGGAACCTCCGGCTTCACCACTTCTCGCTTCTCTTCTCTGTACCATTTCCTCTGCTCCCAAGGAGTGCACTATCTTCACATTTCCGAGGCGCTACAATGGCCCACGATAGCCAACTTCCGGTCGACGGAGACGGCTTCTGCATGCGATGCAAGGCGACGCCGGCGGAGGCGGAGACGCTAACCTGCACTACCTGCGCCACTCCTTGGCACCTGGCCTGCCTAGGCGTGCTGTCTCAGAGCATGGAATTAACCGGTGAGTTCAAATGCCCCGACTGCACAGAAATCGGGACCAGCGGACCTCCGGCGCGGGCTCCGGCCGAAGGAAATAGCCTGGTGGATAGGATTCTGGCCATCGAGGCCGACCAGTCGCTGACGGAGCGGGAAAAGGCTAGGAAGAGACAAGATCTGCTTAGCGGTAAAGCTGAACAGAATGAAAATGAAAATGTAGAGGAAAACGAAGGCAAGTCCGATGTGTTGTCTGTGCTGGGAGAAAGCTTCCAATGCTCCTTCTGTATGCAGCTTCCTGATAGGCCGGTTTCGGTAAAAATCTTCATCTAGGGTTTCTTCTCATTAAACCTGTACTATGTGTAGATTGTGGAAAGTCTAATGTCATAGTTATGCATAGTGTGCATTGCACCGTACAACGGTAATGAGCATGCGTACTAGAATCAACTTAACGACTAATGTGGCACTAAGGTAAATTTACCGTAGTCATAGTTATTCAGTTCTCCTAAAACGTTAAAAAGATCTTCTGTTTCTTTTCTCACTGCGGTGTTGGATACTTAGCATGGTTATCCCGATTTCATAAAGCATCCACGAGTCATAGTTTTACCTGCTTTCAGTGTTTTCACCAGTGATGTTTCCTTACCAATTGGTCCTTCTATAAAAGTATGAACATTCATTTCTGGCTGGACCGTTCTAATCTGTGATGGGTCTGGGGAGTAATCCAAAAAAGTAGTGCAGTGTTTTCTCTGTCATTTTGTTTGTTTTATAAGAATTTGCCCCAAGTAGGAGTAAAAATAATGTTATTCCAAAGAATGAGTATTGTGATTTGTATTCCATGTATAGGAGTAGATACTGCCATATTTGGAAAGCAGGAAAGGTAGTGCCATATTTCAACTACTAGAAAATGTAGTGCTTTTATGGTATGTCATATGTGAGACGCAGGTATTTTTAGTCATCATAAGGAACCTTTAATCAACTGTTGCTCTTTCTTTGATTCATTGGTCACATATTTTATGTCCATTGTTTTTAGATGATACTCCGTATTTATGTTGATTGTGAACATGTGTGCATATGTTTCAGACACCTTGTGGGCACAATTTTTGTTTGAAGTGCTTCCAGAAATGGATTGGCCAAGGAAAAAGAACTTGTATAAAATGCCGCCGCAAATTTCCTACTGAGATGGTGAGCCAGCCACGTATCAACTCCACCCTTGTAGCTGCCATAAGGATGGCTAAAGTTTCAAGAACTATTGCTACAGGAGTTCCTAAGACAGTCTACCATTATATGTGTAACCAAGATCGCCCAGATAACGCTTTTACCACGGATAGGGCAAAGAAAACCGGGATGGCAAATGCTTGCACTGGGAGGACACTTGTCACAGTCCCTAAAGATCATTTTGGGCCTATTCCAGCTGAGAATGATCCGGAAAGAAATCAAGGTGTCCTAGTGGGAGAATCATGGAAATTTCGTGTGGAGTGCTCCCAGTGGGGTGTGCATCGTCCCCATGTTGCTGGAATTGCTGGGCAATCAAAGCATGGCGCACAATCAGTTGTCCTATCCGGTGGCTACGAAGACGATGAAGATCACGGAGAATGGTTTCTGTACACTGGAAGGTCTGTTTTATGTGATTTCAAAACTTCACTTGTAGGTTCCTTAGATTTAAGGAACATAAAAACTTGACCGTTTTTCTGTTACTTCCAGTCATGCTATGATGGTAATCTGTATAACAAAGCAAGTTATTATGATAATTTGATTTGTTGCAGGATTATTGTAGCTTTTCTGAATGACTGAAATTGAACTAGGTAGTGTTTATTGTAGGACTGTGTGATTCATATTTCTGTTTATGCACCTCATGTATGTATGTTGTCTCTGCCAAATCCTATATAATTTATCTGAAACATCTTGTGATATGAACTTACATTTTATCTGCTTTGTGTTCAAACAATGCAGTGGAGGGAGAGATCTAAGTGGCAACAAGCGAACGAACAAGGATCAGTCATTTGATCAGACTTTTGAGAGCTCTAATCAAGCCTTGCTAGTTAGCTGTCAGAAAGGATATCCAGTCCGTGTTGTGAGGTGCTTCCCCTGCAGTATCTTTGTGAATATAAGCACTGTGGTATTTCAAATCTATTTTTATTGTCTGAAGCTACTAGCTACTATTTTAACTTAACTAATACTTTTTTTTTGCATATAACGTTTTCTATTCTATCCTGGTTTATGTGTCTTAGCGGAGTAGTCTCTTACACAAACAACAAGCATTCACGTATTTGTTTTCTCCAACCTCAGCTGTATTTTTATTATTTTGATGTACAGATCTGAGAAGGAGAAGCGTTCCTCTTATGCTCCAGACCAATATTTGCGGTATGATGGGGTCTACAGGATTGAGAAGTGCTGGAGAAAAATAGGCAAGCAGGTGATTGTTGCCTGAAGTTTTTGTCTTATAAATGCACCTTGTTTTTATAGTGCTCTGGGAGGTACCTTTGACACTTCATTTGTGTTTGCCAGGGTTTTAAGATGTGCAGATACTTGTTTGTTAGATGTGATAATGAACCGGCACCTTGGACAAGGTCTGATATATTAAGTTGCTTCCTGATATGTATCAAACTATCAACTCCATATAGAAATGGCTGTTTTCATGAATTCTCAAATCTTTACATACAGTGATGATCATGGAGATTTCCCAAGGCCTTTACCGGTCATTCCTGAGCTTGAAAGTGCAGTCGATGTTTTTGAGAGGTCAGAAAGTCCATCATGGGACTATAATGTAAGATATTATCTTTTTCTCATTCTCTTAAATCTACTCAATATACTACGTAGTACTACGTATATTGTTAATCTAATGACTTGGCTGCTGGAGGAGAACAAAGCTACAAACTTTGATTACTTCACTTATATTTTTGTTGAGATGGGTTAGGTTTTACTTCACAGGAAACTGTCAGTATGCTACAAGAAGTACATTTTTCATTAATCGTAATGCCTTTCCTTGGAGCATCAGCCTTATATAGAGTTACACACTTGGACTATTTCAATAGTTTTATGACCTGAATAACATTTCTTTGGTTAGGAGGTGGAAAAACGTTGGGGATGGAAAAGGGCACCACCTTCTAGCAATCAGAAACAAGTAGTTGAAAGCAACCCCGTGGACAGAAAAAGAGCAAGGAAGGCAATAAAGAGAGCACAGCATGAATCATTCAAAGAAAAACTTTTGAAAGGTAAAATAGGCAAGCAGGATGCTTAAGAATATAGGGAAAAGGTGCAAATAGGCCCATGTACTAACCAAAAAAGGTCAAATAAGCCCTTATTTAGGAGGCTCTGTCCGGCCGTCATCATTTGGGGTAGTTGCCGGTGGAATTTTTTGATGAAATTTTTTGAGCATCTTATTCATCAAGTCTAGTTTACTCATACCAAATTTTAGCTAAAACTTGAATCGGGAAGGCATTCAAATGAATTCTTGAAGATAACTGCGCTTCTAACTGCGCAGTTATTTTCAAGAATTCATTTGAATGCCTTCCCGATTGAAGTTTTAGCTGAAATTTGGTATGAGTAAACTAGACTTCATGAATAAGATGCTAAAAAATTTTCATCAAAAAATTCCACCGGGAACCACTCCAAATGGCGACGGCCGGACAGAGCCTCCTAAATAAGGGCTTATTTGACCTTTTTTGGTTAGTACATGGGTCTATTTGCACCTTTTCCCTAAGAATATATAATGATATCTTCTTGCTCGCTTTTGCCTATTCTGGCCATAAAGGATCCTTACCTTTTAATATTATGCAGGATTCAGCTGCCTGCTTTGTGGCAATGTATTGAATGTACCACTTACGACACCCTGTGCTCACAACTTCTGCAAGACTTGTCTAGAGGGGGCATTTAAAGGCCAAACATTCACAAAAGAGAGGGGATGCCAAAATGGAAGAAAGCTACGCTCCCAGAAGAATGTCATGAAATGCCCTGTTTGCCCTCTAGACATTTCTGAGTTTCTACAGAATCCCGAGGTTCTCTAATAGTGCTCTTAAAAGTTTTTATTTTATTTCTTTTTTTTTGCAGTCCTTGAGTTTTTCTATAGTACTCGTGCCACTAAATTCTGTCTTATATTTCATGGATGCAGGTAAATAGAGATCTTATGGATGCTATAGAGAAACTTCAGAGCTCTTCTGCTTTTGAGGATAACTGTGACACAGATTCTTCTTCTGACGAGGGTGATGCCAGTGCGACCGATAAGACGTCAACTGCTGGTGCTGAAGAAGTGCTCACTAATGCTTTAAAGAAGGATGAGACTGGCAGTAAGCAGAAGACAAAGGAAGCTCTTAAGAAACGAAAAACAGATGTTGAAGGTGTTTCTATCGGTTCTGATTGTGATGCTTCAGATAACATGATGAATGGCCAGGCGGCGGCGGCGGCGGCTTGTGACGGCAAAATCTTGCAAGAGAAATAGGGAACTGTGGTTGCGATTAACCTATTTGCTAGGCGTAATTTCAACATCAATTAGATGAGGGGGGACTCCTTCAATCTAAACCTAGGTAATGTTTTTTTTACGGACGTGCTCTGCGCACCCCAACTTTTGCTATTCGCACCCACAATTCAGCTTAAATGGACTAATTTGTCCTTTTGATTTTTTTTTCTCGTTTCCCAGCCCACCCATACTAATTTTTATCCAATGTGACCAACCCAGTAACCTTGACCGCATAGGCGCATAAGTGGTACTCCAGTAGTCCGTACTTCGTAGGAAAAATTGGAAACAATAATCTCAACTATGACTGATCCACTAAAAATAATTCCAACTATTGATTATTTTTGTATAATCCCAATTATATATACTATCCGCCAATAATAGTCCATGATCATATATTACTTCTATAAAAAGTGAATTTTAAATAGAAATTAAGCGTAAAAATTAAAAGTTGAGATTATTTATAGTGATTACTTGTTATATCTCATCTCATCCACTTTAGAAACTACAAGAATTTATTCATAGGGACCATTATTGGCGGAAGGTCCCTAAAGTTGGGATTATTCTGTAATAATCAATAGTTGGGATTATTATGAGCAGATCGCCAATAATTGGGATTATTACTATCAATTTTTCCTAATATTAAACTAGTGATCCTATCATTTTTCTTCAAATTATAGCTAGCAGGTTTTGCTAGCAAGGGCTTCTCAACTACGATAAAGTAATTATATTGTACGAGTATTACTTCTTATTATTATTATTATTATTATTATTATTATTATTATTATTATTATTATTATTATTATTATTATTATTATTATTATTATTATTATTATTATTATTATTATTATTATTATTATTATTATTATTATTATTATTATTATTATTATTATTATTATTATTATTATTATTATTATTATTATTATTATTATTATTATTATTATTATTATTATTATTATTATTATTATTATTATTATTATTATTATTATTATTATTATTACTTCTACTCAAACATTATTACTAATTATTTGTTATTACTACTAAATTATTATTATTATTACTAATATTATTATTATATTATTATTATTATTATTATTATTATTATTATAAAAACATAAATGTTTTGTTTTCAACTGCACAATTTTATAGTGGATTATATATTTGAATAAGTAACATTTTTAATTCTAGTAAAGTGATTATCCTCAATTTTTATTTGTTTGATTAAATTCAATAGTGGATGGTCTTGCCTTTTAAAACTCCATCGGCACCATGCAGATTCGGCATTAAGGCCGTATATGTCACACGATTAGATTTAGGATGTGGATGATATTTAAGATATTTTTAATTGAACTGATTTTGATCCAGATAAATTCAAAAAAACCAAATCAGACTAGTCCTGATTTACATAATAGTAAATACACATTTGTCGATCGTTCACAAGATCTGATCTGATTTGTTTTTGAATTTTTACATATATGATATTGGTGCAGAGCCGGCTATATGGGGAGTTGGCAAAGGCAGCTGCCTAGGGCCTCATATCTATAGAGGGCCTCATCTTTTAAAAAATTTCTACGTAGTAATCAGTTAATCACGAAGCATATTGGGTTCTTCTAATTGGTGAATTCGTTCGATGCAAAAAACGGTGATAGTCTGGTACCCCAATTCCGAAAAGTAAACATGGAAAGAGGACAGATCCATCATCCATTATATCTTATAAGTTGCTGCCTTGTCTTGCTGTTATTATTATTGTTTATGGGCATTATGGCTTTTAATTTCTTGTTGTTAGAATTTTTTTTGGATTGGTTTTAGTCCCATCCCAGACCAGAACACATTGGACCAGACCAGACCAGATTAGCAGACTTTCTTAGTTATAAAATACATAGAGACCAGACATTTACCAGATCAAACAACACCAGTTCAGACCAAATCAAACCAGACTAGCAAATTTCGGCCCAAAAGAAAATATCCCTACTTCAAAGTTTGTAACAATGTGTTAAGTAGTACTCCGTATAAGATGTATAAAATTGTCTCTATTTTAAGAAAATAGTACATACTCAAACAGTTTAATTTGTAAAATTATTAGTAGGTGTTTTACTTAATTTGATCTTAAAAAGGCCATTTATTTTGCTTGTGATTTTTCTAATTTCATCCTTTTCGTTATTGTTTTATTTGTGAATTTATTAAAAAATATATAGGTCTTGTTACGACTAATACACGAAAATTTATGTTTGTACATGCAAGAGAGAATATTAAATACTCTTTACATATGTAGGGATTTGATTATAAAATCGTTTGACCGATCTATGAATTGGTACTTCAAAATAGATTTTGATAGGCTCAATACTTAGTGTTTTTTGTCTAGGGCCTCTACTATCCTCAAGCCGGCCCTGTATTGGTGTCATATTAAAGCTAGCAAAAAAATATTTAATTTGATATAACTTTTATAAAAATTGGGACAAAAATGCAAAAGTTATAACATTTTATATAAAAAAAGTATTTGCCACATGACAACCCATTATTGGAGAAGAGTAAATCTAAAATTGATATGGGCAGCCAACTAATCTACAAGAACCATGCGCGAGAACACAACGTAAATTTTACTTCTTAATAATTAATTTGAATTTAACAATTAAAAGTACAAGATTTTGAGAGCGTGGTTATGTTTAGCAAGATTGAGGGTGCGTAAAGCAACCCCTTTTTTTATCCTTTTGTTTTAATCTGTAGAAAAATATTTGAGGTACACAAAATGTGTACATATGTAAACATTTTGTTACACCTAGCAAAACATTTGGGGCAAATTGTGAATTTGATATTTGTGTAGTTCCAAGTACCAAGAACATGAAGTAATATTGTGTACCCATACCCCAATTTATTCGGGCTTGAAACATACTCTAATTTGTTTTTGTTATGTCATATTGAAGTTGAGTTGCAAGAAACGACGATAAAACACTACAAAGTACAAATCTTGTGAACCATGGTTATGGTAGCCTGGTAGGTAACTAGGTACTCGCAAAGTAATATCTTTACCCTAAAAATCCTATAATGATTTGTTCTATTTTATACCAGTACTTAGATTAGTGCTGGACTCGGGCCGGGTCGGGCCCGGGTCGGGCCACTGGTTCCGAATACGTGGGCCCGAGACCGGCCCGTCCCTCGGCCGGTTCGGGCCGGACCACCCGCCCGGGTCACGGCTGGGCTACCCGCCTGGCCGGGTCAGGTATATTTTTTTTTCCCTATTTTGCTACTTATTCATACATGTGATGAATATTAAAAACAAACTTCAAGTGCATTTATTTGAAATATGAACTACATTTGAGAATTGAGAAAAAAAACAAGGAAAAATTAACTAGAATAATCTCACCTTTCACTCGACTCTTCTCATAATAATCCCACCTTTAAATAATCCCACCTTTTCACCTCATTTTCTTTCATTGGACCCTGATCATGTTTTTTTTACTCTTTCTTTGAAAATTATACAAATAATTTCACCTTTCACTTCTTAATTATATGGGAAAGTTCCCGAAATGGGACTAAAAAAGTTTGAAAATTCCAAAATAGGACTGTCATGTTTTTATTCCCAAAATAGGACTAATTACTGCCAAATTTGGAAAATACTGCCATGTTTGAAGTCTGGTACTGCCAAAACATGTCAGTAATTAGTCCTATTTCGAGAATAAAAACATGGAAGTCCTATTTTGGAATTTTCAAACTTTTTTAGTCCCATTTTGGGTAATATCTCTAATTATATCCTTATAAATGCGAGAATATTTCTATAAGATTTTTAAAAAGGGTAAAAAACTTGGTCAGGGTCCAATGAAAGAAGATGAAGTGCAAATGTGGGATTATTTTGGGATTATTTAAAGGTGGGATTATTATGAGAAGACCGGTGAAAGGTGAGATTATTCTTGTCAATTTTTCCAAAATACAATATGAAATACATTTTCTAATAAATAATAATAATAATAATAATAATAATAATAATAATAATAATAATAATAATAATAATAATAATAATAATAATAATAATAATAATATAATTAATAATCAATTAATTAATTTGAGAAGTGCTACATATAAAAAACAAGAACGTATATTTATTTGAAATATGAACTACATGTTTACAAATTACAATTGAGAATTGAAGGATAAATTAAAATTATGAAATACACTTTATAATAAATTTTCAAATACTAATCAATCAGAATCTCCGGCATAGGTAGAGCCATCCTCGGTTGTTGATTCATCCATAAAGTGTTGGGAGGGGGTGATGCTCATTTCTTGAGCTCTACGGGCCGCCTTCAACCAATCGTGGTAGCATATAAGGGTCTCAAGAGATGCCGCGCTCAAGCTCGTTCTAGATTGCGTAAGGACGTTGTTGGTCGAACTAAATTCTTGTTCCACGGCAACTGTTGAAACCGGCATTGATAGCACTTGCTTAGCCATCTTTGCTAAAACCGGGAACATTCTTTCTTTTCCCTTCCACCAGTTTAGAACGTCAAATTCATCATCTTCTTCAAAATCAACGTCATAAGTTAAATACAAAGCAATCTCATTAATTGTGCTTTGTTGAGTAGCGGGAGTTGTTTTAGTTTTTTCATAAGATTGGCAAATGTAGATTTAAAAATTGATTTTCCTTTAGATGAAGATGTTTGTGTCGGGGGAGGGGGCGCGTTGCCATATTCTGCATGAAACTCATTAAACAAGGCATATAATAATTCACTAACCTCGTTGTATTCTTTTTTCCAATCTATTGAGCCTTTGTCATACATTGGAAAAGGACAAAAAAGGCAAGATAATAATACTTCAAACATTCTTCTAAAGAATCAAGTCTAAAATGAGGATCGAGAACAAATGCAATACCATAAACATGCGAAATATGTGCATAATATTTTAAAAACTTTTCCTTCATAGATTCAGCAAAATAATTCACGTAAACGACATTTTCAAATTTATTAAAAGCACCAGCGAGATTAACAGCTTCACGAATAAAATGGTTTGAGGTAGGTTTATAAACATGACTAAAAGTTTGAGTTGAATTATAAAAATATACCAAAGCATTACAAATTTTTTCACAGGTGTCGATCTCACCCGAGTTTATAATATAGTTATCATATTCTTTTAAAAAAGCAGGAAAATGTTCTTTATATCTAAGAAGAACTCTAATTAACTTATAAGTACTATTCCAACAAATAGGCAAATCTTTAGGAAAAGCCACATATTTCTCACCTCTTTCTATCACATATTTTTTCCATTTTAATTGAAGTTGACTTCTACCCCAAATACGTCTAATCCCCCCTTGACTACTTCCAAAGAATCTCCTAACGCTTTTAGACTGTCTTGCACACATAAATTTATAGCATGACTTGCACATCATTGATGAAAAAAATGTACCCATCAAAGTAGTAGAACCACATAATTCACGCAATCTAGGTATAACAGCAGTATTATTAGTAGCATTATCAAAACCAATAGCAGACACCTTATCATTCAAATTATACTCAATTAAAATACGCTCAATCAAAATATAAATATATTCGGCGGTGTGACGATCATTAAATTCACGAAAAACAAGATCACGTTTATGCATATTCCAATCATTATCAATATAATGTGCAGTCAGACCCAAATAATGTAAATTATGATAATTATCCTCCCATATGTCAGAACAAATAGTAACACGCCCATCAAAGTTTGCAAAAAAAATTTGTAACCTTACCTATTCCGCATTATAAAGCCTAATAATTTCTTTC